CCCCTCGTGATCCTCTTTCCTATGCATGCATGTTGCCAATTGTTGGTGCAGTACAAGTTTAGTGTTCAAAGCAGCATTTCAAGTGTTGTGATTATTGTGAGGTTTTGTGTGAAATTTTAATTTTCAGCTATCACATTTCGTTAATTTCTTACTTTTTAGACGGGGTCCATGGACTAGAACACAATAACTTTTTTTAGAAAACTGCCATAAAGCAGTTTTTATTGCTATAATTTGTAGTGTAATGGCGATGGCGATGGCGATGCATCGATGGCGGATGAAGAAAAGATTAATTAAAAAAAAGCAAAGGTAGCAAAGAGCAACGTCCCACATGTGGAAGTTTTGGGTTTTTTTCAACCTTTCATCATAATACCAGATTACGGTTGCTCTTCTATCAATATGACCAACGTCCCTCAACTGTCCGATGATGACGAGCAGTGTAGTGCTAGCATCCCTATTTCGCCTATTTCGCCCCCTCCTATCAATGTCACTACAGTAGAGTCGCGCGCTGAAGAACGTGGAGCCCAAGAACGTCCAGCCTGAAATTCTAAGAACGCCACAGCCTAAAGCTAAGAACGGCGGTGTTGGTTTTCTGGAAGCTTGTGGGATACATTATTATGATCCAGTACGGATTGTTTCTAAGAACGTGCTACAAGAACGCAGCCAGATTGCTGAAAAATAAGAACGTCCCAGGCTAACCCCTTGGAAACAACGTTCTTGGGCGCGCGACTCTACTGTAGTGCCAGTAGTGGGAAGCGGAAGAATTCCGCATCTGCATCTGCATGTACCAAATGGTTCAAGTGGACGGACGAGCTGCAGGACAAGCTCGTGATGGTTTTGCACGACCACAAGGTATGAATCATGAATGTTATCCCTGTTATTCTTTTTAAGGAGACTAGACCTTAGACCTTAGAGGACATTAATCGAAAAGTTGTCATTTCATTTGAAAAGCAATGCGATTAGTAGAACTATGCCAAGCTTACGCCAGTCATTTGCCTGAATTCTGCTCCTCTTTGTCCACATACCAATCATGCATTAAACATACCCGAAAAGTATATAATTCTGCCGCTTATCTGCCGGCATTATACCGCAAAGTTGTACGACAAAGTAGACCTTGGCGGATAATGCTCGAAAAGGTGGCAGATTCTGCTCGAAAAGCAGTGAAATTGGCAGAACCATACAATCCTTATGGCGGACAATTCCTCGAATTCTGCTCCATTCTGCTCCATTTTTTTTATCCACATACCAAACATGCATGAAACTTACCATAAAAAGTACCGGATTCTGCCAATTTTTTCTGCCCGCATTATCCGCCTACGTCAATTGCTAAAGTTGATGAACAAGGTGGCAATGCGTACATGTTATTATTATACGTGTACAATGTACTTACTACAGCCAGACATAGGCAATGTAAGCATCAACCACTATTCACGATTCACATCCATTGCATACATGCATGCTGTTATGGGGGAATATGGGTAACTACGTGGTATATCAGTTCTTGGAACTACCTGTACAAGTGTACGTACATGTAACTGAAAAACTGCTGAAAAGCTGTCCCAAGGTACCTGTCGCAGAAGTTGAAGAAAGTTCAACTTTTGCGACATGCGACATACTCAATTGTAGTACAGTTTCAACACTGGGTGCACATACAGTGCACGTGCATAGTACTACTTGTGCACAAGGATGTCGCAAACATGAAAAAGATTGTGAACCGTGCGTCGCTGCTGCAGCTCGTCGCAGGTGTCGCAAGTCGCATGTCGCGTCGCAAGAAGTTGTATTGTGAATCGGCCTTTAGACCTAACTCATAGCATTTTCTCCTTATCATTAAAAAAATTTTAAGCATAATAATGATGCATTTTTTCAATGATAAGGAGAATTAATTTGGTTCTTGTGGTAAGCGGGATGCGTGCCACTGAGGTTTGCATGGTCATTTTCTTGATCATTTCTTGTTGTTTCCAGTTGGAAATGGACTACATCGGAAAAGACATGGAAGCCGACCTGGTAGAAATGTATAACGTGGTACGCCGTAGGTTAGCTATGATGGATGGCGTCAATGTGGAGGATTTTCGGCCACCCAAGGCTATCACAGTGGATGAGGAAAACACCCAAGATGATGCCGTCCACCAACGCCTGATTACTCAACGTGAGATCGAGGGCAGGCAAATATCCCATGGATACAGTAGGATTAAGGAAAAGGTGAGGTGAATGTCTTCATACAGCTTCAGCATACATTTAGTGTGTTATATAAGCTTAAATTAAATGAATATCATAGTGCATTTGGTGATAAAGACTGAGAAATTTACATGTAGATGTACATGAAATTTATACCCAAAGAATGTCAATCTACATGTATACTTTACTTTCTTGTCCTAAAAAAGTAATGGTACATACTCACAAGCATGCACATAAACGTTAATCCCCAGGATTGTATGTGTCTGTTTGTGTTTGCATGGATGCTTCTTTGTTCAAGGTGCGGGCTTTGAGGAAGAAGTTCAGGACGGCGGTCAATGAAAGCACCCGTTCTGGTAGTGGTCGCCTAATAATTGACAACTGGGAGAAGTTGTCCCTCGTTTGGGGTGGTTGCCCGCAGTGACATCTGTGGCTGGCGCCATTTCATCGGCTGCGTCAGGCTCTCTACTGCCTGCTGCCAGTGGCGATGTCAGTGAGTGCGAGGACATAAGTGACGATGATTTAGAAGACAACGTTAGAAACACCGCAGCAGCTCCCAGCCCCCAGCAACGCACCCTCGGCTGAAGGAAGCAGGAAAACGACAACCGATTTCGCTCCGTCTGCCAAGCGGAGAAAGCTCAGCAAAAACTTGCCTGAGGAAGGCTTCAGGCCTTGTGTGAAAATATAAAATAAAGACGATTATGAACCCGTTTACGGGAGATAGATAAATAATAAGACAGCTAAATAACTTGTCCCGTAGAGGCCTAAAAGGCACGTGCCAATAGCATGGATACGACACATGCTCAGGCGCTAGGCCCAGTCTAGCCAGGGTCTGCCGTGTGCACATTTACAGTCAGGCTGTGTTTACATGAGAGTTTTTCAACCCGGGTTGAGTTCGACCCGGGTCAGATTTCAACCCGGGTTGAAAAAAAGGTGGTGTTTACATGACGAAACACAAGAGCGCGCGAGACGAGGTATGCTGTGGTCGCGTGACCTTTTTTTGGAGGGATGACGATCAAAAGACGTGACCTTGGAACTTGAACTGTGAACTGAAACCAAAGGTCCCGAAAGGTCAAGACGAAGGTCAAGAAGAGCCACGTGCACGTGTTGTGGTGCAAAAAATTGGAAGATATCCGACGATGCCAATTGCTGGCGATTGTTCTGACGTTGCTCGTTTTCTTTTGTTGATAGATATCATTTTGATCTCATTGTGTATTATCGAGATGGTGGACATTGTCCCTCTCCTTAGCCCTGTGCTGGCTCTAATGTCAGCTTTGTTGGTGTTGCTAAATGCCAACACCGTGTTGTTGGTGGAGATTATCCACTTGCAAGAGTTGTTGCAGCATGAGCTGCAGCTTGTCCAAGATGCTTCCATGAGTGCTGCAAGGAACCGGAGGCAAGTTATGTAATAATCCTATGTCTAGGCTTGGTGTTTCCTTTGCTTTCATGGGGAGTTGGTCGACTAATGTTAATGTTACATGTACCACATGTATATTATGCAAGTTACATGCCAGTGAATTTCTACACGGCTGCTGTACCAGCATTGCAATTTCATGACATTCAATAGGTCTGTGGGGATTTCCCATAAATTTCATATGGCATTCAATTGACCGTGACTTTGGTGTTTCTCAATGGATTTGAGTGAAATTTTGACCACACACTCCTGCCACTATGCTGGCCCTCAGGACATGATTTACAAGTTCTTGCGCCTCACTGACAGGCTTTCCAGGCCAGAAAAACTCAAATTTCCGGCATAGTGCCACGGTGTGCGAGCCACCCAGGAGCCAAACAAATGCATTTACAATTTTTTCACATTTTCGTGCTCATTCTGTTCGTGCGCGGGACTCAAACCTAGAACAAGTCCAGAAGCAGCCATGGGTGATGGGGTAGGGCCCCTCAACGAGGCCCTGGAATCTGTCACAACGGAACGAGTGGGCGTTCTCTCACACACTCCCACAGACTCAAGTCAATTTTTGAATTTTTTTAGGTTTAGCACGTGCTACGAGGTCGTACCTTTGATACAACATCCAGTGCTGGGACCTCCACAGCAAGCCATTTCCACAGCGCTGCAGGTTTAGCACGTGCTACGAGGTCGTACCTTTGATACAACATCCAGTGCTGGGACCTCCACAGCAAGCCATTTCCACAGCGCTGCACACCAAATCCAGGATACCCTCAGAAACCGGCAAAGACTACCACTCACGTTTCACTACTGCCTAGTACTGAATCCTACCCGACTTCTTGACACGACTCAAACTTGCCAAAGTCACTAAATCAACGTCAACTACAATAATCAAGCCACATATCTGCAACGTCACGAGGGTGCTGGCAAAAGTCCTGCTGCACGGCGGCGGGCTTCGCCCGCCGCCGTGCAGCCCAATACGTTGCTCAAAAACCTGATTTTTTGGAGCAAAATTCTGCACACTTTCACGTGTTTCCATGATACGACAAGTTGCGCACGGTCTGCTTACATTCAAATACAGTGCTGCCAACAAATGACAGCGTGCAACAAAAAAATTTAATCTTTCCTTGCAAGGGCACATTTTCGGCCATAACTCTTGAACGGCCGGTCAGATTGGGACACAATTTTCAGAGAATTTGCAGCTATTCATGCTCTTTCAACTGACGTAGCACTCAATATGAATTTACAAATTCGAGTTTTCAGCGAATTTCTGGGTAGTCTGCCACAAAGGTGGCAGACTACCCATAATTCGCTGAAAATTTTTTTTGACTTGAGGATAGGTTGGGATTTGAACTCACAACTTCATGGTCAGCAGACAGCATTCATAACCTTTTTTTTTTTTCACCAATAACTGCCAAGCCTCTTATACGGGCAAAATAAACACAATTACGAGTGCAACCTCAACAGCACCGGAAGAAAAACGAGCAAAAAATGGCTGTGAAGACAGTCGAGAGAGCAAAAAATTAATGGCTGTGAAAACAGTCGAGAGAGCAAAAAAGGGCTGAGAGCAAAAATGGCTGTGAAAACAGTCTAGTACGGAGCCTCGGGAGGGAGCTTTAACCGATGCTGCTCATGGCAACCGCAAATCGGGCCGAGTCATTTGCATCTGAGGGCACGCGGTGCCGATGGCCTCGCAGACTGGCAACAGCCGCACGGATGAGGGCAAAGCTGAGCTTACATCGGATGTAGGACATTGTGGCAGCGTACGGCTCCTGCTTCTTGTCGGCGAGCATCGATGCCAGCCGAGCATAGAGTGCTGTCGCAGCTTTGCCATACCCTCCAGTGCAGGACAAGACAACTGGTGAGAAGGAGGCGTGCTCGACGTTGGTGATCCGTTCCTCGTAGCGGCGACGCTTCTCCTGCTCATGTCGCTTGTACACAGCGGGCAAGGCAAACTTGGCGTTGGTGGGGGCGTGGGGGTTGAAAACCCGGACATCAAAGTACGAACGCTCGTACCGACCTCCCCAGACTCCACTGGCACCGATGTCTAGGCGGGCGTTGTCTTCAGTTGAAGCTGACCGTAGCGTCATCCTCTCACCTGTCAGCGGCTCATTCGCTGAAAAATCGAATTTGTAAATTCATATTGAGTGCTACGTCAGTTGAAAGAGCTTGAATAGCTGCAAATTCTCTGAAAATTGTGTCCCGATCTGACCAGCCGTTCAAGAGTTATGGCCGAAAATGTGCCCTTGCAAGGAAAGATTTTTTTGTTGCACGCTGTCATTTGTTGGCAACACTGTTGTTGTTGTTGTTGTTGTTGTTGTTGTTGTTGTTGTTGTTTATTTATTTTACATCGCATGGCAAACGGGCAGTTCTGCCCAATATTATGAAAGCGATGACAACCAGTAAGAAGAGTCAGAAATGAAGAGAAAATAAATGAAAATAAAAATACGAAAATGGAAGTAGCAATGAGGGGAGGCAGGGTCAAGACGAGCAGAAAAATGGATCTCAAATTTACAAGTCGGGTCATCGTAGCATGATTCTTTCGAGTCTCATCAGCAGGTTACGAAAGCCATTACATTTAACCGAAGTAAAAAACGCGTAGCATGCGTTTGAATTCACGGACAGATACTATGGACTTCATACAGTCGGGCAGGCCATTCCAGAGTCGGCAGCTGACTAGAAGCGGTCGGCATGCGCCAGAAGCACTGTGGGCCAGGGGGAGGGGAAGGTTGCGTCCCAATTGACCTCGAGTGGTCATGCCTGTCGGCGGGCCTTGCAATACAATTCGGGACGACAACAGCTCACTGACGATTCCAGAACGGATTCTGTCAGGAGTCGGAGCTTGCATTCCCCTCGTTCCAGCACTGGGCAGACACCCAGCCTGGTGTACAGGGGAAGAGTGTGGGCCAATGGGTGCTCATCGGCCACGCAACGGATGCAACGTTTATCCAGTTTGGCTACTGTGTTCCGCTGCTAATTGGTTGGTTGGATTTATTTAAAGTCGTACAACAAACAGGCATATCTGCCTCCTTGTACTTTTGTATGAAGACGAATTCTGGCAGTAAAATATTTTTTTTTAAAGAGAAAGGAAAAAAAGAATCTATGGCTGCATTCGATTGTAGAAACTGGATCCCGATCCCCGCCGACCAGATCACTTCGATCGGACGGATACAATCGAATGTGGACAACCAAGAGTACATGAAAACCAGAGTGTGCAGCTCGGATGGGTTGCTGTCACGGCGAAATTCCGTGATTACATCATTTTAGTGATGTAGTGCGTACAAGCAGGATTCAAGCAGGTCTCTTTCCGCACAACTGCAGCTCAGTTGTACGCACTACGCCATTTCTCGCCTCAGATCTGGGCCAAATATGATGTAATCACGGAATTTCGCCGTGACAGACACCCGTAGCAGAAAAGGCCCCAAGCTGCACACTCTGCTTTTCATGTACTCATACTCTTGGCACAACCAATAATCCGTTTCAAGGCCTTAGCAACCGCGTTGCTACAGCTCATCCCGTAGTATCTGTACGCGTTGTGGTAAACTCTTGACCTAGTGTACGCATATTGCGAGTTTCGAGTAGATACGAGTCGTACTATCGAAATGAATCCGTCGAATCCGTCTCTGGGATCCCCCGGGAGGTGGGTTGACTGGATCCGAATCCGTGCTCTCGGGATCCGGATTCGTACAATCGAACATGCACCAATTTGGCGAATCCGGGTCCGGGGCTGATGGATTCGTACAATCGAACATGCCCTATGTTTATTATATAAACTTGAGCCTCCGAAGTTGGGTAGTTTGTTGCTTTGCGTCGTCGAGTTGTAGTAAGGCCGGTCTGTCCAATAGTCTTACTAGTTTCGTCATCATCCAGTAACTTTCGGCATTCTTTGTTGCCGTGATGTGTAGCTCGTGCTCTTGGACCTTTCCGAACCTGAGCCTTCCAAGTTGGAAGGTTGTTGGTTTGCGCCTTGGAGAAGTGTTGGAGCTAGATGCCAATATGCGTACCTGTGCTGCTACCCGAAGAGCAAGAAGTCATCATTCCAGTAAGCCAACTCACCATATCTCACATTAATATATGTAGTCTCAGAAACAAGGTCCATCACATTCACCATCTCCTGCACCACCATAAGATCCACGTGCTATCAGTGAATGAAACCCACCTAAACAGCAGCATACCCGATTCTAGTGTTCATATACCAGGCTACGATCTATATCGCAAGGATAGAGATCTACATGGTGGAGGGGTATGCATTTATGTCCATTCTGATATTCACTCTAACAGAATTCCCATCACTGAGCTAGGAGTGGAGTGTGTCTCTGTTCGTCTTCGCCTGTGTACCAAACCTAAGGCTATTGAGCTGGCTGTGTGCAGTATATATCGTCCACCGAGTGCAACTGTCGACTTCTGGAACCTGTGCAGTCAGCATCTTGACGTCATCAGCCGTAAATTTAGCAGGATTATTGTACTAGGGGACTTTAACACTGATGTGCTACAGCAATCATCAAATAACCACCATTACAAGCACCTGTCCAATCTGTGTGAGGAGTTTCACCTCCGCAATGTCGTGACTTCACCAACGCGACTTGCCAAGACATGTCTGGATCTAATACTCGTTTAGGCTGCCGCACCACATGTTAAGACAACTGTAGTATCTGTAGACGGCGTGAGCGACCATGATCTCGTTCTGACTAACTTCTCCTACAAAGCCACGCAGCAAGCTAACTCCCGCCTCAAATTCGTGCGCAAACCGCTCCCACATGCAATTGACCCCGCTACACTCTGTGATGATATCGACAGCACTCTGGAGCCTCTCCCCAAGTCAGCTGATGTCAATGCACAAGTCACCCAGCTTTCACACTGTATTACTCGAGTTTTAGACAAACATTCACCGATCTGCCCCGTGGTCTCACCAGCTTTCAGTAAACCGAAGCCTCAGCCATGGGTGACACCTCAGTTGAAACACCTCCTCCAGCAACGAATCCACCTACATAGAAAAGTACGCACTCACCCGTCAGATCAACAGCTTCTGCAGAGGTATCGTGCAATACGGCGAGAAGGCACTCTCCTCAACAGGCAGCTGAAGTCACAGTATTACATCAGAGAGTTCAAAAATCGTCGCCACGACCCACGAGGCCAATGGGCCATTATCAATAGCTTGTCTGGTAGAACAGCAGTGAGGGCTGCCCCAGCAGCCACACTCGCCGATCTGACAACTACCTTCGCCGAGATCGTCCATGACCCTGCCAGACCAGTCGAGCTGCCCCTACCCGTTGCAGACCCCAATAGCACTACTCTTTTGGAGTTTGATACCGTCAGCGTCGATACCATCTCCAAGTTGCTTGAATCTCTGGTATCCAACAAAGCCACCGGCTCCGATGATATTCCGTCCTGCATCCTGAAATCCTGCAGAGATTCAGTCTCGTATCCGTTAACTGTTATCGTCAACCAGTCTCTTCGCTCTGGCATCTTTCCTGCTGCCTACAAACATTCCCATGTCTGCCCTGTTTACAAATCTGGTGATAAGACCTCAGCCACCAACTACAGGCCAATCTCACTGTTGCCTATCGCGGCCAAGATCCTAGAGAACGTTGTCCACAAGCAAGTCACTTCGTATTTCACCCAGAATCCAGACCTGTCAGCCATACCAGGTGAACAATTTGCGTACCGCTCACACCATAGCTGTGAGGATGCCCTGACACTTTGCATAGACAGATGGAACAGAGCGCTTGACAACGGTGACCAATGCGGAGTAGTCTTTGCGGATATGAGCAAGGCGTTTGACCGTGTGCAGCACACAGGTCTGCTGGGAGAGCTAGCCACCACTGGCTTAGGCGGCACTGTCCTCAAGTGGTTCTCAGACTATCTCACGAACCGCAGCCAGCAGGTTACTGTCAATGGTGAGAAGGGTGACACCAAACCCTGTACAAGAGGGGTCCCCCAGGGGTCTGTTCTTGGGCCTTTGCTTTTCTGCGTCTACATTCGCCGGGTACCCGATATATTTCACCAGAGTGTCGTGCAGCTGTACGCTGATGATATTGCGTTCTACGTATTCGGCTCTGATGTGGCTACAATTATGCTACGCTTGCAGGATAGTATGCGGTTGCTAGAGCAATACCTTGATGAGAAAGGCCTTCTGCTCAACCCGACTAAAACACAGTTCATGTTGATACGGCGTCCTGCCCTGCCTGCACTGAGCCCAGCCCTGTACCTGACCTGTAAAGGTATTGTCATTTCCCCTGTCTCTACTGTGAAATACCTCGGTATACTAATCGATGAGCATCTAACGTTCCGCCCACAAGTAGAAAAGGTGTGTTCAGTGGTCTTCGCTAAACTAGCCTGTTTTGCTCATGGCCGTCGCAATTTATCAGCTACAGCTCGGAGAACTTTCTTCTTGTCAATTATACAGTCTACTCTAGAATATGCAAGTAATGCGTATGTGCACTGTTTGAAAACTACCCTATATAACAGGCTTGTAACGGTCAGCCATATTGCGATGAAGAAGGCATTTGGTTTAGATAGAATGACCCCAACTGCATTAGTTTTACAACGGTGTCATCTGTATTCGTTTGAGCAACGAGTTAATTTGAAACTATACGTTTTGGTCTATCGCTGCTTGTCATCAATTACTAGCCCCCTCCTTCAGTCACTGTTTCTCCTGCGTTCAGTTGGCCCGCACACAAATGCTCGTACTCGTGGCCAGGATACAGCTGCCTTAGTATTACCTACTGTACATATTGGGTATGGACTGCGCTCAGTTTCTTTTCTGGCGGCAGGTCGGTGGAACACTCTTCCTCCAAACTGTCGTCAGGCACAATCTGCTGGTACTTTTGCTCACCTCACAAAGATTCACCTAGGGTTCCCTGTAACAAGGCCATGCCTGTTGGGACTCCCCTAGTCAAATAATAAATACTACTACTACTACTACTACTACTACTACTACTACTACTACAGGTCGCCGAATGTCTCAGTACTCCTTGTCAGTTTTGTGCCATTTTGTGGCACTCACTGACTGTATAAGATCTGGTTACGTTGGTGGACAGTTTGTCATAACTCGTAACATGTTGTCCTTTTCCTTTCTTCATCATAACTATATTGGCTCACCAT